GAAGAGCTCGGGGTAGGAGCGCGCGCCCGGGAACTCCGCTGTGGTCGCGGCGAGGGGGCGGGGCTGAGGGTGAGACGGGGCTTGTGGGAGGCGTGGCGCGAAGATTTCGGAGTTGGAGCGCGCGCAGTCCCGAACTCAGCTGAGGCTGCGGCGAGGAGGCGGGGCTGTGGGTTGGGGCGCTCTGCGTGGGGCGGGGCGAAAGGGAGGTTTCGAGCCAGGAAGGTACGGCGCCCAGAGCTAACGGGAGTCCCAGGCGAGCGGGCCGCGGGGTGGGCAGGCTGGTACCAGGGGGTGTGGGGGCCTGGCCGGGCAAGGCAGAAGGAAGGGGATGCTGGTGGGAAGGGAGCAACAGTGGAGGGTGGTGAAGAGACGAGCAACGGGAGGCGTGGAAGGGCCGTCGCGGGAGGTCTGACGCGGACCCGCCTTCTCCTCTAGACCCTGGAGGCGCCAGTGCCAGCCCTCGAAGCTCTTTGAGGCCAGAAATAGCGTCTTGACCACCAAAAGGGAAAACCAATTGTAAATCGAAATTAATTAGCCTACCAAAATGTAAGCTGTCAGCCGCAACGTAACCCATCTAGCTATGAGTTGTACTTAAGGTCGGGGGCATTTATTATGTTCTTTACATAATTTGGGGCGAGGCCTCCACAAGTCTGAGGCTCTAGGGCCCTCGGAAGTCTGTCTCCGCAGGGCCTTGGACTGAGGAGGAGGGTTTGGGATGGAGGTGAGAAGGTGGTGCCAGGGCTGGTTTGTCTTGGAAGCCGTGGCCTTGTCCCCGCGGAGACAAGCCGTAGGCCGGGTCCGCGTTTTCTAAAGTACACCACGTTCCCAATGGATGGTACTTGAAAGAGCATGAGGAGTCCAGCTGTAGCACCAGAACCAAGGGGGCTGGTCAGGTTGAAGGTCCTCTAAGGACTTGACCTGAAGAGGTTTGGAGAAAGAAGGACCACAAAGGGCATGTGAGCTAGCGATGAAGGGGTGAACTGGGGACGAAACCAGTGGCCCTAATTTGAAAGACAGAATAAAGCATCAGGGAATTCCAGGGTCAGGGATTGTAAAAAATGGAAAGGATAGCACCCCAGAGTGTACCACCTTTGGTAAACTGCGGCCCTGAGGAAATTACCTTGTTCTAAAGGGGTGGGGGATTAGACTACCTCCCAAACCTGCACTTTTGTTTTGTTTTTTGGAGACATCATCGCTCTGTAGCCCATGCTGGAGTGCAGTGGCGCGATCTCACCTCACTGAGCCTCCGCCTCTTGGGTTCAGGCGATTCTCCTGCCTCAACCTCTGGATTAGCTGGGATTACCGGCGCCCGCCACCACACCCGGCTAATTTTTATATTTTTAGTAGGGACGAGGTTTCACCATGTTGGTCAGGCTCGTCTTGAACTGCTGGCCTCAAGTGATCCGCCTGCCTGGGCCTCCCAAATGCTGGGATTACAGGCGCCTGCCAACAGGTACGGCTAATTTTTGTAGTTTTAGTAGAGGGGATTTCGAGGTTTCACCATGTTGCCCAGGCTGGTCTTGAACTTGTGAGCTCAAGCTGTCCGCCCATCTCGGCCTCTCAAAGTGTCAGGATTACAGGCGTGAGTCACTGGCGTCATTGTATGTATTTCTCTAAGGTTGGTTGCCTCTTGTCATTAACTGCAACAAAAGATAAAGAAAACCCAGTCTCTGCCATTTCTACTTAGGTAATTCTACCCAAAACAGGAAATAGGAAGGATAATGTTGAATGTAGAAGGTGTGAAATGAGTTTTGCATTAAAGCATGTGTTTGCTTCTCAGAAAACTTAAGAACGTGAGGTAAGAAAAGAACTGAACACTTGGGAAGTACATTCTTTCCTATTCATCTGCTCCATATCAACCCTGAAGTGTAACTCTTTTTTAAAAAACAAGTTCTTGGCCGGACACAGTGACTCGCTCCTGAAATCCCAGCACTTTGGGTGACCAAGGTGGGCTGATCGCTTGAGCTCATGAGTTAGAGACCAGCCTGAGCAACATGGCAAAACCCCGTCCCAACAAAACAAAAAAATGAGCCGGGCTTGGTGGTGCGTGCCTGTAGTCCCAGCTACTAGGAAGGCTGAGGTGGGAGGATCGCTTGAGCCTGGAAGGCAGATGTTGCATTGAGCCGAGATCACATGGTTGCACTCCAGCCTGGGCCATAGAGCCAGACCTTATCTCCAAAAAAAAAAAAAAGTTATCTCCCTATAGCTCCAACCCTCACATTTCCACCCCCAAATAGATTACTGCATCGTTTCCCCAGCTTTACACTATTTATACATGGGTCCAATAATTACTTGTGGATGTGCTGTCCTCTATATGATGGTATATTTAGCAGCATTTTCCCTCCCAAGTTGTGACCGCGAAAACTTCACATGTTGTGAAGTGTCCGTTGGAGGCCAAAATCTACCCCCAGTCCAGTTGAGAACCACTGGAGTACGGAGTACAAGATAAACTTCATTGCCGTTAACTTGGCTTTTCAGATCTTTCATTATCTTTTCCCAATCTACCTTTCCTAGAATTTGACTCAGTCCAAGAGAACTACCAATGCAGGAATCCTGTCTTTGGCTTCCTCCATAGATTTCTTTGGCTTCTTCCATAGATTATGATCTTTTACTGACTTTTCTTGGATGTTTCCAGGGATGAAAGAAATTTAAAATCTTTACTTTGCACGAAAGTCCTTGTCTCTTCAAAGTTCCTGCTCAAAATGTGTATTTGTTGAGTTCAGTTCACACCCCTGGAGGTGTAAAAAAAAAAAATCCTTTTTCCATTTGTGAGCACCACTGAGAATAAAAATGGTAGTCATATTTCTATTTTTCACCTTCCTCTATGTAATATGGTTTATAGATTATCATGAACTTTTTACTCTCCTCTGAACAATATCGCGCCTGACGATGTCCTACTTAAAACATACTACCCAGAACTGAACACAGTGTTCTGGATGTGCGTCACACGATGTTAGTACGTAGTATATTATACTATTAGTTTCACGCTTATTCATCTTCCTTGACTCTGAACTTGAAGGCAAGAACCAAGTCTTAGTCACTAGGTTGTTATATTCGTCTTTGCAATACTAGCACAGTGCTTGGCCCTTAGTTCAACTGGTGTTCAAAAATGTTCATGGAATGTGGTACTTCCTTAAATTCTAAGATAGCATTCCATTACCTTTAGGGGCAGATAGAGTACACTGTTGCCTTATATTGACTTTGTGATCAACCAAACCTATATGTGTCAGATCAGAGGTTGGCAAACTTTTTTGTAAAGGGCCAAATAGTAAATATTTCAGGTTTTATGGGCCTTGTAGTCTGTTTCAGTGACTTAGCTATGTCACTGTAACATATAATCAGCCATAGGCAATATATAAGCGAATGAGCATAGCCACTTTCCAATATAATTCATGGACATTAAAATCTGAGTTTCATGTAATTTTTGTGTGTCACAGTATATTTTGATTTTAAAAAATATTTTGAAATGTTAAACACATTTTTAGCTTGTGGGCAGTACAAAAACAAATGGCAGGCTAGATTTGGCTCACAGGCAGTAGTTTGCTAACCCCTGATTTAGACTAACCCTTGTATGATTGATTTTTTCCAAAACTGAGTAAAGGTTTTTACTTTTATCCTTATTAGATGACTTACTCATTGCAAGCCATCTTTCTAGCTTGCTCATTTCTTTTTGAATGCTAATTCTGTCACCTAGCTTATCAGCTGACATCCCAAGCTCTGTGTCTGCAAAATTGATGAGCATACTTTGTGCATCCTTAATTAATAAAAATGTTGAGTAGGATAAGGATAGAAGTCCTCCACAACTTCATTTTCTTCCATTAATCATCATTCTTTGAGTGTAGCCACTCAGAGTTAGAAATATCTACCTAGAGTACTGGCTGTCACCCAATTCATATTTCTCTGTCGGGTTCACAGGGTATCTTGAGAAGCTTTGTCTGAAGCTTTGTCGAAATGTTTAGAACATGTTCCAAATGGGTAGGAATTCCATCAGACAAACAGAAACGTATAGGTTTGGTTTAGCTTGTAAACTAATGTTACTGCTACTTCCAATTTTAGTACTTCCTTGGTTACATTTTCAAGGCTACCATTTTAATAATGAAATTTAATAATTTTAGGGTTTTGTTGAGAATTAGCATTCAAGTTTATCAATCTGTATTTACAGAATTCATCATCTTTCTCCTCTTAAAACTAAGGCTTGACAATTCATCCCACACTGACTGTTTCTCTGGTATCAATAGTGTCAAAAGCTGTGGTAAGATTGATAGAGAAAAGAGGCACAAAAAATTAAAATATATGTGTTTTCTTACCAATGTTACCACACTTTTAATACTATCGATACTAGTTTTTAAAATATAGAAAGTAAACTGTATTCTAATAAATAAAAACTAAGAATAAATGCATTTTTATAAAATACTGATACTGGCCGGGCACAGTGGCGCATGCCTTTAATACCAGCACTTTGAAACGCTGAGGCAGGAGGATCACTTGAGGCCAGGAGTTTTAAGACTAACCTGAGCAAGCTGGGTGTGGTGGCTCACGCCTGTAATCCCAGCACTTTGGGAGGCTGAGGTGGGCGGATTACGAGGTCAGGAGTTTGAGACCAGCCAGGCCAACATGGTGAAACCCCGTCTCTACTAAAAATACAAAAATTAATCTGGCGTGGTGGCGGGTGCCTGTAATCCCAGCTACTCAGGAGCTGAGGCAGGAGAATCGCTTGAAACCGGAAAGCAGAGGTTGCATTGAGCCAAGATCGTGCCATTGCACTCCAGCTTGGGCAACAAGAGTGAGACTCCGTCTCAAAACAAAGACTAGCCTGTGCAGCATAGCAAGACCCCATCTCTACAGAAAAAAAAAAATTTTTTTTTGGCCTCCCAAAGTGCTGGGATTACAGGCATGACCCACCGCACCCGGCCTAATTGAGTATTTTTATGGTATTCCATGTTGTTCTCCTCTGTTGACCTTCTTCCTGTACCTCTGTGTTTTTGTGTTTTTGTTTGGCTAGGGTAGTCAGGGACTTATTTTGTGAAGCAGAGTGGCAGAAATAGTCATGTCATATAGATTATCCCTGGGAGAGGTTTCTTATATAAACAAACATGTTAGAGTCCCTCCCACATGTTGAATAGCTTGGCTGTTAAACCATCTGCTAGGCAACAGCCTTTCCTTCTCACTTGGTTTTCTCAGATAAAGTTTAGAGATTCAAGAAGTTGCTTTTTTTGTTATTTTTTGATTTGCAGGTTAAACATTTTAAGATGAGAAAAATTGATCTCTGTCTGAGCTCTGAAGGGTCCGAAGTGATTTTAGCTACATCAAGTGATGAAAAACACCCACCTGAAAATATCATTGATGGGTAAGAGTTACTATAGTTTGTTGTTTACAGTCTTAAATCAGTGAATCCCTTGAGTACTTGGACTGTGTTTTATAACAACTTGCCCTTTTAAACATAGTTTAATAAATGTTTGGTGAATTATCTGATATCCACTTTTGGTACCATTTCTGAAACTAATTCAGTTGTGTATATTTAGGTTTTTGATTCTTTTCTTTATAATGCCTAAACTGAACTCTTCATACAAATAGGTTTTTTTAGAAGTGGTTTACCAAGGCAAAAACTCAAACAACTTCATTTTATGGAAGTGTAAATTTTAAGGTCTGGTTTTGGTTTTACTCCAAGTTTTTCTTGGAATAAGAATGTAAATATTATAACTTCCTATATACTACCTATTTCCTTACTGGTCTAAGTGATATCTTTGCAGAACTGAATGCTTCATTCCGTGCTATCACATATTGTTTTGCCTCTCCCCTTGTTGATATCCTTCCAGTTTCTACTCTTCATTGTGCTACAGCTTTTTCTAGGTAGATATTTTTCTAAATATTGTTCTTAGACTTCTGATTCCAAGAAAAAGCAGTTAATGGGAGAACTCCTTTTTTTCTTTTTTTTTTTTTTTTAAGACAGAGTCTCACTCTGTCACCCAGGCCAGAGTCCAGTGGCGCCATCTTGGCTTACTGCAACCTCTGCCTCCCGGGTTCAAGTGATTCTCCTGCCTCAGCCTCTTGAGTAGCTGGGACTACAGGAGTACGCCACCACACTGGGCTAATTTTTGTATTTTTTAGTCGAGACGGGGTTTCACTATATTGGCCAAGCTGGTCTCAAACTCCTGACCTTGTGATCCACCCACCTCAGCCTCCCAAAGTGCTGGGATTACAGGCATGAGCTACTGAGCCCACCTGAGAACTCCTTTTTATTTTGAGATGGAGTTTTGCTCTTGTTGCCCAGGCTGGAGTGCAATAGCACAATCTCGGCTCACCAAAACCTCCACCTCCCGAGTTCAAGTGATTCTCCTGCCTCAGCCTCCCGAGTAGCTGGGATTACAGGCATGCACCACCACGCCTGGCTAATTTTGTATTTTTAGTAGAGATGGGGTTTCTCCATGTTGGTCAGGCTGGTCTTGAACTCCTGACCTCAGGTGATTTGCCCACCTTGGCCTCCCAAAATGTTGGGATTACAGGCGTGAGCCACCGTGCCTGGTGGAGAACTCCTTTTTTAATACTTCTGGCTTATTACATTCTTGAACCCTCTTTCTTGGTATATGTACAGTGACCAGAGTTTGACTCATAGAACCATCTAATTTTAGGCCTGGAAGGACTTGTGGGTTTATTTTGCCAAAACCCTTTATTTCAGACTTGTGGTAAGAGAGGTCTAAGGAGGTTAAGTACTACTTTTAATTATTGAAGGCAGAACCAGTTGTAACAGAGGTTTCATGATACTTTATGTATCTTGAAGCCCATGTATCTGGATGAAATTCTAGCAACTCAGCCTCTTCCTTGAAGCCTAGTTGTAATCTTTATGACAACTGACTTTTCCCCTCAGATTCCTTTATCTCTTTGCTGGGGTCCAATAACAGTTGGTATATACCTCTGTTACCTTACTTTTTCCTTTATTGTATTGTTTATTTTTAATGTTTGTTTCCTCTCTCAACTGTGAATTCCTAGAAGTCAGAGGCTATTTCTATGAGTCAAACTTGACTAATATTGGAAAGTAATCAACATCTACACACACACACATACATATAAACACATATATATGCACATATTACTCTACATTTGCATAGGGCTTTATAATTTCATAGATACTTTGTCAGTTGACCCTTACAGTAATCTTGGGGAATAAGAAGCACAAAAAAGTATTTTCAACTCCTTCGTAAAGATGAAGAAAAGAATGATCAGATGACTTGCTCAAAATAAAAATGACTTGCTCAAAATTACACAGATAAGCAAGAGGCAGAATCAGCTAACACTCATGTCTTCTAACTTGTACTCAGGGATCTTTGTGCTACACTGGGTTAACTCAAACTTAGTTTGAATCAAAAATTTAATATCTGCTTTTTGCCTGTGTCTCTTCTTTCTTTTTCTTAGTTGTTTACTTCCTGAAATTCAGGTAATAGTTACTATCCTACTCTGACTTGGAGTAGAAAAATTAATATGGGAATTGCTTTAAGAATACACAGAACTGTGGAGATTTGCCTTAAGTTGTTTGCCAGAAATAGAGGACTTTCCAGAAACACTCCTTGATTTTGATTGGAGATAGATTAGTTTTCCAAGGCAAGATCAATTTACCTTGCAATACTTTGGTGATCTTTCTCTCAAGCGAGTCTGTTTTTTATGTTTATAGAATGTTAGGATTAGCTATCATATATTGCAGTTAATATTTTAGGCTCTGTCCATTTTGATAAATAAGGACATAATATTTTTTAGATTAGACAAAAACTCTAGTACAGGAAAACATAAGGAATAATGTAGTTACTGTCCTGATAACTGAACAGAGTACATAGGGGACTTTTAATGCATATGCAGTTCCAGAAAATATAATTAGACTATATATTGTAGACACTAAAAGTTAATTTCTGGCCAGGCGCGGTGGCTCATGTCTGTAATCCCAGCACTTCAGGAGGCTGAGGCAGGCAGATCAGTTGAGGTCAGAAATTCAAGACCAGCCTAGCTAACTTGGTAAAACTCTGTCTCTACTAAAAATACCAAAAAATTAACCAGGTGTGGTGGCGTGCGCCTATAGTCCCAGCTACTCTGGAGGCTGAGGCACCAGAATTGCTTGAACCCAGGAGGTGGAGGTTCAGTGAGCTGAGATCGTGTCACTGCACTCCAGCCTGGGTGGCAGAGCGAGACTGTCTCAAAGAAAAACAGAAAGTTATTTTCTGTTCACAGTTGCTTTATCTAAATAGAGTAACCATAGAATTATTTGGAGAAAACAGTGCTATAAATGTGTCCCTACGGGATAATGGAATATTGTTTTATGGCCCTGCTCCAAACTCTCCATTCCTTCAGAAATAAGAGTTAAATAAATAGCCAGGCATAGTGGCTGAGGCAGGAGGATAGCTTGAGGTCAGGAGCTTGAGACTAGCCTGGGCAACGTAACAAGACCACATCACTAAAAAAAGAAAATGATTATACTTCTACTTTTCCTCTGCTCTTTGTATTTAATGTGTCAGTGAAAAAGAGGAAAAGAGGTTCTACACTAGGAAAAAAAAAGCCAAGTAAAAAAGAAGAGAGAGAATCAGTTCTTTTGGTATAGTGTAGAAGAATACTGTATTTAGAATTAAAATTCCTGGGTAAGTGAACTATGTGTTATCTTGGTCAAAGAGTATATATATTACTCTTTGAGCCTCAGTTACTGATCTGAAAAATGGAGGATAATACCACCTTTCCTGCTGACCTCAGAATTGAGAAAAAAATCACATGAGATAATCCATGTAAAATAGGTGTTAGCTATAAAGTCATATTTAAAAGAAAACTACCACTTTGATGACTTCCTTATATATAATTACAAGATTTAGTTAGATGTCTTTTTTTTTTTTTTTTTTTTGGTAACAACCTTATTGACATATTATTCACATACCATACAATTTGCCCATTTAGAATATACAATTCAGTGGCTTTCAGCCTATTCACAGTTACACAGTCATCTCCACAACCAATTTTAGAACAGTTTCATCATCCCAAAAAGAAACTCCACACACACAAGAAACCTCACACTTGTTATCAGTCACTCTGTATTTTCCCATCCATACTAGCCCTAGGCAAGCGTTAATCTACTTTGTTTCTGTAGATTTTATCTATTGAGATATTTCATGTAAACAGAACCATACACATGTGGTCTTTTGTGACTGGTTTCTTGGTTTCTTTTTTTTTTTTTTTTTTTGACGGTGTTGGAGTGCGGTGGCGTGACCGCGGCTCAGTAGAGTCTCTGCCTCCTGGGTCCACGCGATTCTCCTGCCTCAGCCTCCTGAGTAGCTGGGATTAAGGCAGGC